CCCCCCCCCCCAAAAAAAAAACAACAAAAAACAAAAAACTCAAAGAAAAACAATGTCAGCTATGCTCAAGATTCCTCACTCATGCAGGGTATTTTTTCACCTAAAGCAATAGAAGTCATCATTGGAACTTCAGTAGCTTTTATTGCTTTCAAAGCAAGATGAGCCGCCTTTTTTTCAGATGCCCCTATTTCTGGGATTTCTGAAATAGCCTTTAATGTTTAAACTACAAGCCTAAAAAATGTCTTTTTTCTTTTCCATTATAGTATGTTTAAAGCCTTCAAGCACTTTCCTACAGCCAAATTCCATCCTGAGAGTTGAATTGAACTGGGAGCCTGGTCTCTCTCATCCATAGAGGCAAACATTTCATATTAAGTAGGCATATTTCCCTTTTACAAACGCCCCTTCATAGCAACTTTTAAAATATGAGAATATATTTTTATTAGTCTTCCTCTGCATTTTTCCTAAAACTCCCTTTCTCAGCATCATTTCTCTCTAATTATTCCCCATATGCTTAACTGACAAGTTAAACTGTCTACCCTAGTTTTAAAAGCCATCCAGAGACATAATGGCTCACCTTCTTTCCGCTCTGCAGTCTCACTGTTCATAATTTAACTATTCCTGAGTGCAAACTTTTTTTGCCGCCTTTTTGTTTCTGTGCATCTCCCTGGCCAGGCTGGGACTTTCCAGCAAAGCAGCTCCTTATTTGTATGTACAAATTTAAGTGAAAATATATCTTTTTTTACCCTTATGGTATATAAAGTCTTCAGCTGTTAAGTGTCTTGAAATTCAGTTTGCAACAAAGATGCCATACAAAAAATAAAACCACATGTGTGCTACAAGTACATATCCTGTGAATGTTTTCTGAAAGGGCATTACATTTATCTTCTTCCTCATCTGTTCTTTGGAGAGACTTTGGACCTTTCCACTGACTTAACTGGGGTTTGATTCAGGTCCTTAGATCTTAAATTGGGTAAGAACATATGATGCAATAAGATGGCAATAATTCCCAATGGGATTTTGAACATGTAGTCAGAGGCTCCATGTTGGGGTAGAGTGACTAGCGTGACTACCACATGTATTTTAAATTTCTAAGGTTCTTTTAAGTAAAAGAAAATATGAAGTCTCTAATATGTCAAATCTTGGTATTATTATTTTCTATTGAAATTTAATTATAACGTAATGAAATGAATAATGAAAGACAGAACCATCTGAAAGGGTCCAAAGGCTAGCATTTACCTGTCATTTTTTGTTTATTTTTCTGAATTGGAAAGGAAAAACAAGAGTATATCAGATCTAAACAGTGTCTAAAATGTAACATTAAAGTAAAACAAAACCTAATATTTTTTTTGCACAAGAATTTCCTTCCAAAGTAGTCAAATGAAAATGGTCAATGAAAGGAAAAGACTTGAATGTTTCGAATTTGTAACACTGACAACTAAAGGGATGCCACCAATTTAAAACAAAACCTCCATACAGATGCCTGAGTGGTTTTCCTGCTATTGTAACAAGTGACATGTAAGACTAAGTCCCTGGGTGAAATCCTGGCTCTGTTCCAATGAGTGGGAGTTTTTGCTGTCAAGTTCAGCGGGAGCCAGGACTTCATTATTTTTCTTTTCATTTTTGGTTCATTCATTTGGCAGTACTCTGTATATTTTCAGTTTCCCTGTTTTGTACATGATTTTCATACTGCTCGTAGACACTAACACAAGAAAGGAAAAAAATCCAATCATAAAACTGCAAATCAGTAGAGAGCCACATGGACAAAACCTGAAGCTATTTTAAATGTGCTTTGAGAAATCTAATAGATCATAAATTGACAGGCTTCATTTAAGATTTACCTGAATATGAGTTTCCATTCCTTTTACCAGGCCTATTGTAATTTTGTTTTATCTTCGCAATCCTAGACATTAATAGCCACAGTTGAGCCATTTTCTTTAATTTTGCCCCTGGAAAAATATGCAGGTCTACATGGGGCCCTAAGTATGCACATGTGTGCATATATGTATGCTGTTAGTTGTGTAGTGAGTTGTACATGTCTATTTGCAATACTAGCACAAGCTGCTACTTGCATGTTTGAATTCAGATCTTATGCATATAAATATTGGCACATGCACAATCTGTGCACCCTAACCTTTGAGTTGTCTGACTGAAAATTTAAGTAGGGTATAATAATTTGTAACCAAGGAATAGAGGAGGTGATATGGTTCCCTGCATAATAGGTGTGGGATCTAGGTTCTGTATGACGAGCAGGGATCCTTGAAACAAACTTTTTTACTAGCATGAATTGTGCAGCACTTGTGCACCTAGCTTCCTCATGTAAACTGCAAAATGTTTGGAAGGAATTGAGTAAACATGGCATGTCTTCTTGCAGACTATCAAATAACATAACCAAGTCTGTTTAAAAAAAATCTAAACCTAAAGAGGCAGATAATTAGTGAAGATTCCTGCAAAATAAGTTATCTGACTTTTGTATACATAGTCTTCCATTAGCCTTTGATACCAACATACATTTGTATTAATAACTGTGATATACATCCTACTTCAGGTAAAAGGTGACATCCTGGCCGCTGACGATACATGCAGTAAATACAGAAAGCCACTCAGCAATTCCTTCTGGCTGTAGGAAGATGGTTCTCCAGATGCAATTAGGGTCACTGTAATGTCTTTATACATCCTGCAGTTGGTGTTTCAGGAAGGAATAGGTCAAGTTAGACTGTCTCCAAAGGTAAAGGAGTAGTTAAAACTGATACATCTTGATATTTGGTGTACAAAGAGTAAAAGCTATTGAAAATGAAATGTGTGACTGTACTCTGCTATCAAAATTATAGAGGGTTACTCTATTCAAACGTAAAAACAGAATTAAGTTCATATAAAAATCAAAATGCTTTTTAATTTAAGGATCGGTTTAAGAAAATTTAATTTGAAAAAATGCAGTGTTCCTCTCATAAGCCTCAATTTTGAAATAAAGGGACTCGCACATTAAGGTGACTGTTTCCTGTCAAGTACTTGTGAAATCATCATGTTAAGTGTTAACACTATGCTCCTTTTAAATCCTGGCCCAGTTTCATAGAGGGTTTCTTCCAGGGATACCTTCACTAGGAAACCAGGCTGCAGTGGCACAAAACAGTTCCAGCTCTTCATTCCTGCTGTCACGAGAGGTTGGCTTGGTGCTTTAGCTAGAAAAAAGGTAAAGCCAGGGAAGTGGGGGAGTTGAGTTTTTCCAACAGAGAACTCCTGCTGGCAGAGATCCTATGGTGGCTGGTTGAAGTTGGTCATATTCTTGCATACATGTTGGCAGGGGAGAAGACCTAAGGAAGCAGAAGTGGAAACACTTGTAGGAGTGATTTTTTTCCCCCTGGAATGCAGGAAGCTTTGGCACAAGGAGGTGTCATCTTCCAGAATATTTCATTTGAGGTTTTTGTTCTTCTAAAAGACTTGTGCATGCAGGACACTATTTGCTCAAGAGAGTGTTGCTTTATATCATGGTGATATATGAAAGGGGTTGGCAAGGGAAAGGAATATTCAAACAGGTATAGCTAATGTAGAGTGATCTATTCCTGATCTGTGTACTTTTGGCGTTGCTTGTAAATGACGTAGCATAAATTTACAGTACCTTCTCAAAGTGCAATTGTTCCTGCAGACTTGGTACTTTTTTCTCCCTCAGTCTGACCTCCTGTCTTTCCCAGTAATCTGAAGTAATTTGGATGAAAGAAAGAGCTAGTGTTTGCCATAATGCAGCAGGAGCCTTCTTTTAACATCTGGAGTCCAAAACTGAGGTATGACTAGGTTCAGTTCTCAGCTCTGCAGTTCCACTGCCATCATCCCATAAGGAGCTCAGATGTAAGTCTGTGTTTTATAGCACTGAAAAAGTGACATACTAGAAATCCAGTTCATTGCTGCCTTTACAGCCCACTTCAGTCTGGATGCTGAAGAATTCTCTGGCATTTCCTAGAACTGCCAGAGAAATTATATGCCATCCCTTTCATAGTCTTCTAATAACTTAAGGAGTGTTGCACTCTGGCTATTAATGGCTGTTGCAATGTACTGCTCACACTAAGCTGTGCCAAGCCACATTAAGACTGAACCAATCTCAGCTGCCCTTAGAATAGGGGAAGTACAAAAGTAATGGGAAAAGCACCTTTGCCACATCCTTGGGTCCTGTACCAAGCAAATCTCAGCCATGCTCAAGAGCTGGGGTGTGTAAGAAGCTTCTTTACAAAAATGGGGGGGGGGTTCTTGAGGGAGGAAGAGGCATCAATTTGATTTTGTTCTTCCTCCTGAAGATGATTACTTGTGGACAACATCATCTAGCCCTTTAGGAGCCAGAAAATGTTGTTGTTAAATTAATTTTAAAATTTATTAACATTCTTACCAAGAGTCTGATTAGAAGATGATGATGATAATAATATTCTGTAATTTAACATAATCACTCTATACTTGACTCAGTGGTATACACCATTGTAATTATGGTTTTTTGCTCTAAAAATATACTATTTTTACTTATAAATTGTCTTTGTGTTTTGATTTTATTAATTGCAAACCACATATCTGTGACTTACATGGAAAATTCAATGGATAAGTTATTTCAAAATAAGCAGCAATATGATAGCCTTAGCTATGAGAGAGAATGAAGGGATATCTTCTGTTTATAAAAGGTGGGTGTAGCTGCTCGTCTTTCCTTGAGGATTACTCATCTAATTGTGAGGATACTATAAGAGTATCCCCTTCAGGGGAAACCTGAAGTCCAGGCCATTTGATGATCCTGAGCAGTTTTAGCTCTGAAGGCTTATTGCCAGGATTTATAATCTTCTTATCACAATTCATTATCCTTAGTTGTTTCTAGCTATTGTACTCTGCCTTGCTTAACTCCAACTACATGGAACACAATTGGCATACTTGACCCATGTCACTTTTTTCCATTAATTTACCTTGTCATTTTAAATCTCAAAACTGGTCTGCTTTCTTCTTCCCTAGTGCTTCCTGCGGCACTGCATGCAACGATATTCCTTCTCATTTTCTTTGTAGTCCTATATTGCTTTTGAATTGGTGGGGTTACTATTGAACAGATCTTTTAATTTTTTGTAACTTTCCTTTTTAATCCTAACAAAGCATTTTGGAATTCATTAGATTGTAAGCTCTTCTACACAGGGACTGTGTATTATATGTAAAATACCTACTAAAATGGGGCCCCAATCCTGTTGTTTGTTTGTTTGTTTGTTTTTCTTTTCCCTTCTGTGTATGCAGTATCCAGAATAGGGCAGCTAGCTTACTGATTGCTAGCCTTATGCATCACTGACTTAAAAAAACAAACAAAACAAAACAGTAAAGGAACACAGGGAACATCTTTTTATCATGAGAACTCCCTTCCCTTACAAAACTGCATATGGTCTTTACTCATAGTAGGCAAAGTCCATCACATGGAAGGAACTGATAGATTCCTTGCATAGGGGAAAGGATAACATTCTTTACTTGAACCCAACTGACGACAGTGGTGGGGGAAACTAGGTCTGCTTTATTTTAATCCTTTCTTGTTGATTTTTTTTACCTGCCCACGAGATAGTTAACTGTTGCTGTGCCAGCCACCATGGTATCTCAGGCATCTGCCATTTTACTTCATGATCATGTTTTACGACATGAACTGAAGCATTGAAGTGGAGGCAGGATTTGATCTATGTATGCTGAGAGGAATCCTTAGTTACTAAATGATTGTTAAGTGCTAGCAGTTAATCTAAGGAATATTTAAAGTTTTGTTCTAATACATTTTTTTAAATAAAGGCAAGCCAGAAGTCCAGTACAGGATTTTGTATTGCCCAGTTACCTTTTTAGGTTGTAAGAGAGAAGAAGGGCATAACTAAATAGAAAATATGGCTTTGTTTGCACTGGCCATCAACATGTTAACAATTAAAAAGTGAGAAACACAATTTATCACACTGGATCTGGCAGAAACCAAGTCCCAAAATATGAATCAGAGTGGCCAGTGCAAATTTCCATTGGCAGACTCCATATGAACATGGTAAAGATCAAGATACGGGACCAGGGCCCAGATTTTGTACCTGCAGCAACTTTGAAAACATTTAAGTGGAGGCAGGAAAGTACATGCTTATTTCAGATTTTGCCTCTCCTTTACGTTCTCTATTCCAGTGGTCCTCAACCTTTTAGATTGCAGGTACCACTCCATAACTTTTTGGAATTCAGCTGTACCCTACTTTGAAAATTAATGATTTTATTATAGTGCTTGCTACCTCACACGGACTAGGCAGGGGAAGAGGAGCAAGTACTAACATCCTCATACTGTGTGGCACCCTTAGAAGGATGTTGCAAGCACCTCCTCTCCACCCCCCGTCCCAGTTTCTTCTGAAAAATGAGCAGTAGTCCTCTTTTTTTTTTCTCCTTCCTAATCCAAGAAAAACTTGGTTACTTGTGTGCAAATGTTGGTTGACAAAATGAATTTTCCCTTGTTTCATGAAGACCGGCACAAAGTATTTTTTCCTTATAAAGTTTTACCAAAAATTAGAACATACATAGAATTGAATTTGTTCCGTTTAGGGTGGGATTTTTTTTCCATGTTAACCTTTATCCTTTTATTCAATAGCAAGGAAATAATTTTTAAAAACTTCTAATTGGACATTTACTCCCTTAGTAAGGTCTTCCACCATAGTTTTCACATACAGTTCATTCCTGTATAAGGTACACAGCTTGTTTTTGAAAGGCAGAATGAAGAAAAGATCTTTCCTTAAAAATACTGGTAAGCAGCAGTAAGTAACTGAGTAGTAGCAGCTAGGGAGCACAGCATGCTTATTGTGCTGTTCTCTGTAAAGTACATGCACTGGCATTTCACTTTTCCCCCCAATAGAGGCTTAGCTGCAGAAACTGCTAGTACCATATTTCCTTGCTTATAACGCACACCTTGATTTCCAGCATCTGATTGGTGGTGTGTATGTTGTATGTGAGAAAATATGGTAGTTCTCCATCCCAAAAGGCCATAGGACATTATTGCCTCATCTTGGTAATGGTTGTTGTACCCATGTTAAGTCTGTCACTTATGATTAATTCATGGCAAATCAAAACAAAGCAATAATGTGATCTCACTTCAGCTAAAACTTAGCTCATCTGGGCAGTGATTTTTCTCTTTGGTCCATCTGTAAAGGGCCATGCAAGCCAATAGTCTATACATTTAAGGTACATTTCCTTATAAAAAAAAATACCAGTGGACTTGACAGTAATGGTAACTTGCAACTGTGCTTTTTCAGTATTTTTTATTTTACCATAACTGTATTTTTATATTAAGAACAGCAGCACAAAATACTTAGGGGTTCTACTTTGATATAAAAGCAGGATTCTGTCAGGCAGTTGATCTCCATGCCAGAATTCAGAGCTTTCCTGTATACATGCAATGTTTTTATGGAAGTAGATATCATATTTTGAACCTTGGAGATGTATGTTGGGCTGCAACTATGTAAATATTCATTAAGACCCTAACTAAAGTGTGTACTTAAGTAATTTGCTGATTTTGGGTCTTATGTTGAGGAGCAGCTCTGGCTGATATACCATAGTTCTAGAGAGAATTAGCTGATCATATCACCTTCCCGTTTTGTCCCCCTGCGTTTTTATCATTTTTCTTTTGCAAGATGTCCCTTCATTATGGAGTGTTCTCCATTTTAAAGTAAAAAACAAGGAGATCTACAACATAATCTGAGTATGACTTTTCAAATTTGGGAATTTGATGCTGAAAGTTTCAAAATACTTTATAGGAGGGGCTGACAAGTCTCAATGCATAATAACCTTATAGAATCATAGAAATCATTTAAAAAAAAAAAAAAAAAAATCAGGATTGGAAGGGACTTCAGAAGGTCACTTAGTCCAAGCCCCTGCTCAAAGCAGGACTATCACCAACTATATCATGCCAGCCAAGACTTTCTCTACCCAGGTCTTAAAAACCTCTAAAGCTGGAGGTTCCACAACCTCTCTGGGTAACCTGTTCCAGAGGTTTACTATCCTCCTAATGAGAGAGGTTTTTCCTAATATCTAACCTTAACTTCCCTGGCTGCAACTTGAAACCCTTACTACTCTTTTTATTTTATCTGCCACCACTGAAAACTGTCTAGCTTCATCTTCTTTAGAACCAGTCTTCAGGTAGTTGAAGGCTGTTATTAAATTCCCCCTTGGTCTTCTCTTCTCCAGACTAAACCAGCTGAGTTCCCTCAGCCTCTCTCTCCTCAAAAGTCATGTGCCCCAGCCCCCTTACCACTTTCACTGCCCTGTTCTGAACTTTCTCCAGTTTGTCCACATCCTTTCTGTAGTGAGAAGCTCAAAACTGAACACAATATTCCAGATGTGGCCTCACCAGTACCAAAAAGAAGAAAATAATCACTTCCTTCTGCTGGCAACACTCCTACTAATGCAGTCCAGTATGCTGTTAGCTTTCTTCACAACAAGGGCACACTGTTGGCTCATATTACTGTCCACTGTAACCCCTAGGTCCTTCTCTGCAGAGCTGCCACTTAACCCATCAGCCCCAAGCCTGTACTGATACATGGGATAGTTCCATCAAATCCATCTTAAGTGCATATCTTTGCACTTGTCCTTCTTGAACTTTATGAGATTTCTTTTGGTTCAGTCCTACAGTTTGTCTAAGTGTCTCTGACTCCTAGCCCTACCCTCTTAAATTCAATGAGAGTGGATGGTATTCCACATAGTCTGGGAATCACCCTGTCGCTTACCTGTATGTGTCTGACAACAACCCTTTAAAGCACATAGTTGTACAGGTTTGGGGGATTTGTTACCATTTGTAGATTTTGTTGTAGCTTTTGGACTTGTAAATTTTAACAGCAAGATTGGTCTGACTTTGTTTTTGTTTCCCTGCAGACAGCTTCATTTTATGTTAATTGTATGTGACCTAAGGTAGATCTTTCAGTCTCCCTCTCTTCTCGTGTGTGTGGGTGCACACGCGTCAATTTTAGGTGTAGCTAACTTTCCAGAACATTTGCTTAGTCATCAGTACCTATCATGAAACTTTAAGATCATGTTGGTTTGAGGAACTGAAACATGTTTCTGATTTATTACCCATCAATTAGGTACAAACATTTGAGACCTAGATGGGGTTTTTATGGAGGGTTATATACTGGGGTATAGACTAGCTCTTGTTGTTAATCATCCCCCCCCCCACACACACACACACAGTGAGATTATAACAAAATGAGATAATGAACCTGGCAGGTCTTCAGATTGTTAGCAAACCCAAAATCAAATGTCCCTATATGCATTTGACAGTAGTATGAATTTTGGTATAAATGACTACATTAAACATTTAGTATCCTGATAACTGTCTCATCTCTTCCCATTCTTTCTATTTTTATCTTTTTTTCCAAGAAAGCAGCTGTTCATTTTCACCAACGGCTGTATAGAAGTTGTAAGTGCAGATTGGGGATTTTTTTGTTTGTTTGGGGTTTTTTTGACCAAAGCCAGCTGTATATGTCAGAGCTTAAAGCTTGACTGCACTCTACCTCATTCTGTTCCTCCTTCCCCCCACACTTTGAAAAAAAATGTAAAAGCCCTCAAGACTTCTGAGGAGCAGCTTTGCTGTGGGATTGGATCTCAACAACTTTAAAGTCATGCATGTGCAAATACACTCTCTCCCCTTCTGTGGGATTTGACC